TCATAACAATTTAGTGTTTCTACTTTCCCGATCATCAAAGTTAAAAAATCTTAAAATGCAATCTTTGCAGGTGTTCGCGATGTGGGATGTCATTCACCCTGTTTCAAGAAGTGACTCGGCACATCAGGTCTAAAGCGTGTCAGTACCAGGGCGCTGACCACTCCGCCGCCTCCGTAGTATGGAACTGCAACCAGTGCGCCTTCACCACCGACTCCCAGGCCGAGTGCTTCTTCCATGAGGTCCTACACTCCCCCTCTATTACAAAGGTCGTTAGAGAAGACGGAGAGAAAATTGTCGACAAATATGATTGCCCGCTCTGCCCCAAAACATTCAGCAAGTCATCTCTCCGCGATCATTTGAAGCGGCACACATTCGAGAGACCGTTCGCTTGCGACGTGTGCGGGGCCAACTTCACGCGGCAGAGCAGCCTCACCAACCACTGGAAGCACGAGCATGGCAACAAGACCACAGCAAATGCTCCTGAGCTAGCGGCGACTAAGGATGCAAGTCCCATTTTGCAGAGCGGTCAAGCTACAAAGAAAACTACAAACAAGTAAGTTCTATTTCTATTTGACATTTTTTTAAATGTAAATCATAAAAACCGTAAGAAAGATAATCGTATCACTAGAACAGAATAAAAATGGTTCAATCAATCACTCAAATATCTAATAATATTCCTACGTAAATATCATAGGTACAAATATAGATCGAGTTCGAGCAGGTTGTAACTGCTTTAAAAGTAAATAATGAAATCGCTGATAGTTTGCGTCACAAGACAATTTATCGGCCGCATTCAATCCAATAAAGTTTACACACGCGACCGAATAATTAATGCGGTGCGCTGACGGAAAAATGAGCTATTGTTTCTACATGGAATACATTTTGCTGTTTCAATAACGGTATAAAATGTTTTCAAACTATTCTTTAGCTTGTCTAATGTTCTACTAATCGGGAATCTTATAAGTATAGTTGGATATTAAAGAAGCGCATACTGCTAAATGATAAAAGATGCAACTAAACTTAAGGGCGCATTTAATGACTCATATTTGAGTTTCCACAGAGCGGCCATCATTCCATCAATTCTCTTCCAAATTTAAATTTGAATCAGTGCATCGTGGCGCTCACCTCCACTAAAATAACCTGCGTGTCGCAAAGATGCGACAAGTGCGCGGCGGATGCTTGCATGTCGCTGTCACACAACTCCTCACAAACATCGGGAAACATTCATAATTTGACGCGCGCTTTGATAGTGCGCCGGCGCGACATTTCCCCACCTCAGTGTTGCCATCGCTGACGTTTTTATACCGAACTGTAATAAATTCCCTCCCGGATGCCTCGTATTTCGAGCGTCGGATCAAAATATTAGTGCGTTCGAAAGAGATGGCGACATATGAATTTTATTATACGCACGTGTTGGACGTAATGTGCAGCTTGCAGGTTGATGTGATTTGACGTTGCCAAATTGGTAGTTGTTTATTGTCCGCGAGCCGTGAGCCGAGAGCTGCGAGTAACTCAGGCACGTAGGTATTTATTTGACAGTGAAGCGAAATATTTGTATGCAGGATTATTGCAGTTGAAATATGCATTTATCTGGCGACACTCCATGTTCAATTTACCTCGAACCGTCTTCTTACAAATTTGCACTTAATAAGAGATCAAACACTGACCAAGGAT